AAACGGTTCCGTCCCAGGTCCAATTGGACCTTCAGCACCAAAAGGCCCATGTTGGCCACCCGTGGAACACGCTGGCCGACAACATCGCTAAAGCTGTGGCCCTCAAAAAACCTCTTCCCTTGCTGGGTCTGCCGATCAGCCTCATAGGGGCTGTCAAATGCGCTCCGTCCAGGCAATGGGAATGGCTGCAGTGCAACGCCCAAGACAGCCATGCCTACCCTTTTTATATATATATATATATATATATATATATATATATATCAGACCGGGCGGAAGCTCCAAGGGGTGGTGCCAGACACCACGGCCGCAGCTGGCCACATTTATCAGGGGCCCGAGAGCCCAGGCCCCAGGGTGGTCAAACAAGCCCAAGTTGTTGACAACACTTGCTCCTACAACCCCCAGTCTATGAGGGAGGAAGCCCACAAGGGCTCCAAGGGCAAGGAGCGCATGCGCAGGCTGGATCTACTTCGTGAGCAATTTCACCGTGAGAAAGTTCACATCATTGGTATACAGGAAGGCAGGAACGAGCGCTCACTCAAAGGCCATCGCAGTGTCACGCACGTGCGAATTGCCGCTGGTCATGAGGACCATAGCGTAGGAGTGGAGCTCTGGGCTGACCTTGACACCCCGTACGGCACGCTAGGAGGCAAAGAGCTCAGGTTCCAAGCGCATCATTTCCATGCTCTTGACGCTACGCCCAGAGTCCTCATTGTTAAAGTCGATGCTCCAGCCTTCCAGCAAACGGTTTGCGTGGCCCACGCCCCGCATCGGGGGGCTCGTGTGGCTGACCGTAGGGGGTTTTGGGATGAGCTAAATCGGGAGCTCGATTTCTGGCCATGTGACATTGTGTGTAGACGCCAACGCGGCAGTAGGTCCTGTGCGATCCCAGTGGGTGGGCGACATAAGCCCAGTAGAACAAGAGGATACGAGTGGGGGTTTCATGCACAACTGCCTCAGGACCAACAAGCTCGCGGCCATCAACACTCTATTACCCCCCACGGATGGTGGACACACGTACGTCTCCCAGAAAAGAGAATGGGGGAGGCTAGACTACATCTTGCTGGCTGAACCACTTGTGGCCACGGCCCAGTCATGTAAGGTGCTCTATGATTTGGAGGCCTGCCTTAAGCACGACGACCATTTTCCCGTCGTCGTCCAACTCGCTTGGGATACCCAAATGGCCGCCCCCCCCAAAGGTGATCGACCCCTTGACCCCATCAAGCTTAATGACCCCAAGCTTCAATCTGTTTTTGAGCAGGGGTTGGATGGATTCCAACTTGATGATTGGAGTGTCAATCTCAATGATCAGTACACCAGAACCTCGGAGTTCGTGCGGACGCTAGGGCAATCCACGTTCGGCAGAGAAGCCAAGAGGGTCCGAAAACCATATGTCCGACCCAGAACAGTTCAGCTTGTCTGGGCCCGACGGGCATGTCGCAAAGTGCTCAAGCATGTCAGGGACACCTCAGTGCTCCAGGCCGTTGGTCACCTCTTCGCGCTGGCCTCCAAGGCGGCGGATGGAGCGCTTAAGGGTGATATGGCTGATGCCGTTCCCGCTCGCCCCCAACCAGTCTGGGGTGGCATGGATGGCCCCAACAGTACTTGCACTGGCGCTGGCGCCACGCTGCTGTAGACGATGGCAGCAGTGCGTGGATGTTGGAATGTGGTCCTCACGGAGGCCCGGGCTTTCGTTGACAAGCTGGCCCAACCCGAAGACTTTGCTGTGGCTATTGCTGGGTCCGTGCACAACACGCAACCGCTCCTGCGCGAGCTCATAGACCGTGATGTTTGTGCTTTGCTTGAACAGCAGAGCGACGGGATGAATCTCACGCTCGGAGTGGACGAAGGTTAAGTGCCTGCTCATGCTAGGAGGTAAGATCCAAGAAGCAGGCCTTTTTCCCGCTCCGAAAGGCACCCGATGGCACCATCCTCACCACGCTTGAAGCGCAGGCTGACGATCTCCAGCGCCATTTTGGCGAGATCGAGTTCAGCTTGGACGCTCACCCAGGCGACATTGCTGCCGCCTACAACTCGGCTGCGCCAGCTCCGCCGACCACCGCACCCAGAGAGGTCGCGAGACTCATCACCAAGGGCGCTCTTCAAAGGGCGCTGGCCAAGGTCCCCGCAGGCAAAGCCACGCCTGACAATCTCACGGGTGATCAGCAGCGGGTTGCGCCAAAAGCGCTTGCACGTGTTTGGCACCCAGTGCTATTCAAGGCCAACATGATCGGCACTGAGCCATTTGGGTTTCAAACAGGGGGTTGTTGTCGGTATCCCCAAGGGCCCAGACGGGCCTTACGCGTCCGGCAGAAGGAGCATCCCCCTCACCTCGACCATCAGTAAAGTGTACCACAAACACGTCCGCGCCCAGGTCCAGGCGGCCATGGCCATCTCCCTGGAAGCATCCCAGTGCGGAGGGCGAACAGGCATGGAGGCGGACTTTGCAACTCACTTCATAATGGCTAAATTGCACATGCACATGAAAGCAGGTAAGAGCAGCATCGCGCCGCTGCCGACTTGAAGGCTGCTTTTTACACAGTGGCCAGGCAAAGCCTATGCAGTATGCCTGCCGAAAGGGAGGACTTCGATCTTGCGCTCAGCACTTTGCCTGTCCATCCTGCCCTCCTTTACGCTGCGCAGCATCTTGCCCAGACGCCTATCTTAGAGCAGTACTCTACTAGCGGGCATATCAATGCACTTTTTCGGCGGCCCTATCCTCGGGCTTTTGGGCGTGCAAAAACGCCAAAGGGTTCAAGAAACCCATGCTGGGTACCAAACCTGGGACGGTCCCAGCGACAGATGCGTTCAACTACGTGTTTTCTCATATGATTCGGGACCTCCAGGCCGGGCTTACTGCTGACGGGTTCCCGTGGAAGCCCGAGCTGGACCCAGGGGCCGTCAGGTTTGCTCAAGAAACGGATCTAGATCAAGCGCGCGATACCACCTCTTTCGTCGATGATCTTACTGCGCTCTGTGCCATCGACGAGGCGGCTGACGCACGAGCTGCGCTAGTGAAGGCCACCGAACATCTGGCAGAAGTGACGTTTAAGAGTGGATTGCAACCCAACCTGAACAAGACCGCTGCTCTCATAATTCCAGTGGGGCCAGGCACCAAGAAGGTCCAACAAGAGTTTTGGGGACCCCAGGGCCGGGAAGTGTATATCCCACCCCTCGACGCCTCTATTCAAGTCAGGCGAACTGTCAAGGCCCTGGGTACCATGGTCAATGATCGCCTCGACATGTCGGATGAGATAGCCTACAGGATAACCTCGGTAGCCACTGAGGTGCGGCCAATCCAGCGTACCCTTGGGCCTCGGAAGAAGCTCCGATTAGACCTCAAAGTCAGATACGCGGAGAGCTTCGCTCTCACGTGGCTTTTCTACAATGCATCCATCTGGAGTCGGCTCAGCACGCGGCTCGCCAAAAAACTCCTCCATGCCCAAATAAGACCCTATAGGGCCGCTCTTGGACTGTCGCTTAGCAGTTCTGACGCTGGACATATAGCGCACAACGAGATTTTGTCACAAGTGCACAGGCTGGAGACCAAGGATGTGCTTCGGGTGGCGCGCCTCAGGTACTTACCCCGGCTGCTGCGTCAGGCGCCGCCAGCGCTCAGAGTTGCCATTGAGTTTCTCTTTCAAGAAAACAGCGGTTGGCTGATGCAGGTGGCCGATGATCTCCGATGGATGACCCCCCTTTGCCTCAAAGGGGAGCTGCGGCACCGGGCTTCCTTACTTTGCTGGCTGACGGAGGCCAGGACGGAGCCGCGCATTTTCCTCCGACGGGTGGCCAAGGCGGCCGCCAGAGCGCAACGCAATTTTGAAGAGGAATATCGCGCGCTGCAGCTTGACAGGCACATCCAGCTCATCCAGAACGAGCGGCCCACCGCCCATGAAGAGCCAGAAGCCACCGTCACCATGTTTGTGTGCTATGAATGCGGTTTCGCAACAGAGCAGCTTAAGACTTACAACATGCACATGACGAGGCAACACAAAAATATGAGGGATCCGCTGTGCTGGGTAGCGGGCACGGAGTGCCAGTGCTGCAGGAAACAATGGCACACTCCCAACCGCCTTCAGGTCCACCTAAGGAGGTCCCACAAGTGCAGGCTGGCTTGGGATCAGGCCGGGTACAAGGCTGGGGAAGGGGAGATGCAAGCTTGGAGAGATGCGGGGCGGGAGGTGCAGAAGAAGAACCGCAGCAAGGGGAAAGGAGATAATTGGGCGGAATTCCCCCCCGTGCAGCTCTTTGGACCCTCGTTCTGCAGAGATGCTCCTGTTAGGCCTCAGGACCCTCCCCACCTCCCACCCTCGGTGAGCGTCCCCATCCAGAGGCCTCGTCAGAAACACACCACCACTGATGCAGGACCAAGCACGGAAGGGCTGGAGCAAAGGTCAATTTTCTTGTGCCTGTACACGGGAGATCGGTATGATGGTGACTTCATTGATTCACTTGAGCGTGAGTTGGCGGCCAGTGGAAAAAGGGCCAGCATCCTCACCTTAGGGGGACAAGAAGGGTGGGGACAGCTTGCGCTGCCACACGTGCTCCGCTTTTGGGCCCAGCTCATCCAGGACGGTTTTGTTGGGGGGCTTTGGGCTGAGCCTCCCAGAGGCACCTGGCAGGCTACGGAGGCCCGCACTCGCCTGCCGCGCGATTCCAGCTGTCCTTGGGGAAGGAGAGCCCTCCGTGAGGTTGAGTTCACTCCCGTGCGCGAGGATAATCGTGCTTTGAGGGCGGTGCTCTGGTTGACGCACGTTTGTCGACGCGCACGAGTACCCTTTGGTATCATGCATGTCCCGTGGGCCAACGAAGCCTCACATCCCACCATATGGGGACTCAAAGAGGTGAGCACGCTTGAGGAACGGAGATTGGATTGTGACGGATGTAGCATTCTCATGTCAGGTGTGCATGCTTCTCTCCCTCACGCGTCCACTCTCACGCCTCATGCTTGCGTGGCCCCGCAATTCGCCGCCCTCCTCCACTCCTCGACCAGCCATGACCTAGCACCCGAGCTCGCCGAGCTGGTGCTCAAGCTGGACCCTTACGGTTTGGAACCTCTGGGGGATGGGGGTGTGGAGGGACACGACCTGCCAGCGTAGGGCGTGGTGCGGCCAGTTGTTTAATCCCCTGTACTGCCTCTGCTTGCTGCCCTTTCTCTACTTAATCCACTGTGATAGGCTGCGTGACTCAGAGGCCTTCATCGACCGACCAATCGACCGAGGAGGAGGAGGAGGAGGAGGAGGAGAGGGAGGAGGAGGAGGAGGAGGAGGAGGAGGAGGAGAAGGAGTAGGAGGAGGAGGGGAATCGAGGAGAAAGGGAGGAGAAGGAAGAGGAGTAGGAAGAGGGGATCGAGGAGAGACGCGGAGGAGGAGGATACAGGAAGATGGAGGATGAGAAGGAGGGTGAGGAAGAGGAGGAGGAGGAGGAGGAGGAGAGGTGGAGGAGGAGAACGAGGGGGATAGAGGAGGAGGAGGTGAAGGAGAAGAAGGATAAGCAGGAGGGGCTGGAGGAGGAGCAGGGGGGTAGAGGAATTACGAGGATTTGCGCTGCCCGCCTCGGCGCCGGCGGCGGCGGCGGCCTCCTCGGCGCCGCCAGCGGCCGCCTCAGGCTCGTCTCGGGCCAAGCTGGCCGCCGCCGCGGGCGGGCCCCCGGCGGCGCCGACTAGCGCCACGCGCGCGGCCTTGGCGGGAGAAGGATGAAGAAGAGGAAGCGGAGGGCGGAGGAGGGGGACGGGGAGGAGGGTGAGCTGGAAAATTGAAAGGGTGGAGGAGGAGGAGGAGGAGGAGGAGGAGGAGGAGAAGGAGGAGGAGGAGGAGGAGGAGGAGGGGGATCGAGGAGAAAGAGGAGGAGGAGGAGGAGGAGGAGGAGGAGGAGAAGGCAGAGGAGGGGGAGGAGGAGGAGGAGGAGGAGGGAGGAGGAGGAGGAGGAGGAGGAGGAGGAGGAAGGAGGGGGAGGAGGAGGGAGGAGGGGGAGGTGGATCGAGGAGCAGCAGAAGGAGGAGGAGGAGGAGGATAGAGGAGGGAGGAGGATAGGAGGAGGAGGAGGAGGAGGAGGAGGAGGAGGGAGGATGTGGATCGAGGAGTGGAGGAGGAGGAGGATGAGGAGGAGGAGGAGGAGGAGGAGAGGATAGAGGAGGAGAAGGAGGAGGAGGAAGCGGAGGAGGAAGAGGAGAAGGGGAGAAGGAGGGAAGGAAGAAGGAGGAGGAGGAGGGGGAGGGAGGAGGGGGGGGGAGGGAGGAGGAGGATAGAGGATTCGCGCTGCCCGCCTCGGCGGCGGCGGCGGCCTCCTCGGCGCCGCGGGCGGCCGCCTGCGAGGAACGAGGGGGAGGGCGCGCACCGAGGCCGCCCTGATGCGATCGGGCTAGCGGACCCCGCCTCACTCTGCGCCGCTACCCTGGGCGGAGCGTGGGGCGCGCTCGCCTTCACGCGCAGAGGGGGGCCCACGTCGGGATGGCCCCCGATACCGCCCCCAAGAGGGCCCAGGAAGAAGAGAACTTCAAGAGGCCTCCAAGAGGCCTCCAGTAGACCCTGAAGGATCCTCCCAGAGGCCCCAAGATGGCCTGCAGGAAACGCCAAGAGGCCTTCAAGAAGCCTGTTATCCACGACCCAGACGCTTCCCCGAGATGCTACGAGGAGCCCCCCCAAGGTCTCACCAAAGTATGCAGGTCTCGACGATCTGTCTCCTGTCCTCGGGTCCCCAAAAGTCTGTCTCAACATAGTTCCCGAAAGTCGAGAACGAAAATTGGGTGAACCGCGAAGCACAAACCCGCCGACTTTGTCGGCGTGTGCGAGGGGCTTTTCTGTTCGAGTCGTCGTCTCCGTCAGTCGTCGTCTGCGTCGCCCCCTTTCCCTGCACCCTCCTCAAGCCTGCCAGCGAGAGAAACACCTTGCAACATCGGACTCGGATCGATGGGAAGCCCCGTCCCTTTGATCCCTTCCCGGCGCCGGAGAGGGGGTCTCGGGGGGGGTCCCGGGGGGGTCCGGGGCGATCCCCCCCCCGCGCGATTCCGAAACCCTCGCGCGGTCCCCGCGCGGTCCCGGAAGCCCAAAGAAATCCCCAGGAATTCTCCACGAGACTTCCAAGAGGCCCCCAGACTTACAAGACTCTTCCACAGGGTGCCCAAAGGGGCCCCAAAATGCCTCCACAGGCACTCCAGAGAGGGCCCCGAAGGGCAAAAATCGGTGATTTCCATCAGTGGGCGTTCTCGCCTCTTCTGCTTCCTGCCGCTTCAAGACAGCCGAAGAGGCCCACGACGGCCCAAGAGGCTTTCAAGAGCGCTCCAAAACATCCCAAGAGAACCCCAAGACAGCCCAAAAGGCCTCCAAGACGGCCCAAGAGGCCCCCTAGACGGCTCCAAGAGCGTGCCTTCACGGGGAATCCGAACGGACATTTCAAGCCCTCGGCCCCGAGAAGCTCCCAGAAGGCCCCAAGAGGCTTCTAAGATGCCCCAATCAGTTCACAAAAGCCTACCAGGACACCCGAACAGGCCCCCAAGAGGCTGCCAAGTGACCCCAAAATTCCTCCCCAGAGGACCCCGAGAATTTCCCAAGAGACCCCAAGAAGCATCCCTGAGGACTCGGGCCCACGTCAGCGTCGGCGTCGTCGCCGCCGCCACCGCCGCCGCCGTCATCGACGTCCCCCTTCAGGGTCGGCGGCACCAGCGCTAAGGCCATCGCAATCGGTGAAAGCCGTGGGCCCTGCTTGATTCGCACATTGTCGACTTCGAGATTTGAGCAGAAAATCCGCGACAGCCCGAGAAGACCCCACAAATCGCTGCACGAGGGTCCCCGATACCCTAAGCGCAACATAATGCACCATGGACCATGGGCAGGATGGGCCGCAGGTCACAGGATACTTGACAGTACTCGAAGAGCTATACTCACACTTCGCCTGCTGAAATGCGGTCGGCACTTCCCAGGGAAACTTTCAGCAATTGTCCGGCTCAGGGAAGAAGCATCGAGCTGGAATCGACGACACATCGCCAAAAGCTCGGAGGTTGGCCCCCAACAGCAAATCCGAACGTTCCCGGGCGGGGGTGAGCCATCGTGCCCATCTCGGCGATCAGTTGGGCGACTAGGGGTTGATGCATCATCGCATCTGAGCCTCTCCCTAACGCATCGCTACAGGAACCAACGAGTGCACAATCATCGTTTCTCAGAGGTCTGGGCGGACTGCTTGGTTCTGCGCTCACTCCCCCTCCCTCACGCGCGGAGAGCGCCACCAGGGGGGGGGGGGCACGGCACCGATCCAAGAAGTCCGCGCGGAGCCCCGAGAGTTGATGGTTATACCGTTCCTTCCTCTGCTCAGCGCGGTCACTCGTCAGAACACTTATCAAGATAATGACAGACATAATTTGTCTTGGTCGACTATCGACGATCAATGGGCAATTGTCATCGATGCATCCTCCCCTGATTCAGTTCGGCGGCGACCCCAGGGGGGAAGTCAGAGGGGCAAGCCTTCTCAAACGGGGTGCGGCTTCCTAGAAGCCCTCCAGCCTTCTGAGAAGTCGTCTTTGCCTTCGAAGATGGGTTAGACAACTTATCACAAAGCCAACGGCCTTCCGAGCCTGAGAAGTCATGCCCCCTCTTACTTCCCCCCTGGGCTCGCCGACGACTTCCCCTGAAGCTTCCCTCCTCCCGGCAAATCACCGCCTGCCGCGGCGCTGCGCCAACAGGGCCGGCCAGCGCCGGCTTCAATGCGGGCGCCCGGAGGGCCTCCTGGCGCTGAGTTGACTCCAACTGCCGGCGCTCCAGCGCCTGGCGCTCCCTCTCCTGAACCAGCCTCGAGCTTATCCCTATCGCTAAGATTGCCAAGCACAAAGGCGACGAAATCCTTGAGATCCGCATCGAGATAAGGCGATGCGAGATAAGGCGATGCCATTCACATGGATAGCGATATGCTCCAGGCTGGTAGTCCTGGCGCAGGCTGTACTCCAGCTGCCGGCGCTCCAGTGCCTGGCGCTCCAGCTCCTCGCGCTCCTCGGTGGACCCGGAGACGAAGGCAGGCTGGCCCGGCGCCGCCCACTGGTGAGCCGCCGGTCGTTTGTGTCGCCGCGGGCGGTCGATGACACGACGACGACGACGACGACGACGACGACGACGACGACGACGACGACGACGACGACGACGACTGCGACAGCGACAACGACGACGGACCTGGGACGAAGGCGGGCTGGGTCGGCGCCGCCCACTGGTGAGCCGCCAGTCGTTGCGTGCAGCCGCGGGCGGCACAGGCCATCGTCCGTCGTCTGTCGTCCGCTCCTGCTCCCCCGCGACCCCTCCTGTTCAAGCCCATGTCCTCCAGCCTCCCCGGGTTTCTACTCCGGCCAGGGTGGATGTTTAGAGCCGCGGCGGTTTTTCGGCCGCTTGGCAGGGTGGGATAAAGATAAATACGACCGATGCTGCTTTAGAGCTCCAGTCTCCACACGCGCGGCCCCTTACAGGGGGGGGGGCCCAGGCGGCACCGCGGAACATGACGCTTCCTCTTGCCGAGTCGATCCGATCCGATCTGGATCCTACTTCCCCCCTCTAGTCCTCGTCATCGTAAACCCCCTCCTCCTGCTCCTCCTTTTCCTCCTCCTCCTCCTCCTCCTCCTCCTCCTCCTCCTCCTCACCCTCCTCCTTTTCCTCCTTCCGCTCCTCCTCCTCCTCCTCCTCCTCCTCATCATCATCATCATCAGCATCATCATCACCATCGTCATCACCATCACCATCACCACCATCATCATCATCATCATCATCACCATCATCATCATCATCATCATCATCATCATAATCATCATCATCATCATCATCATCACCATCGTCATCATCATCATCATCATCATCATCACCCTCCTCCTCCTCCTCTTCCTCCTCCTCCTCATCCTCCTCCTCGCCCTCCTCCTCCTCCTGCCGCTGGTCGCGGCCGTGGCGCGCTGACAAGCCCTCAGGGGGCGGCCCTGAGCATCAGTCCTGGGGGTCACGCGCTAAACCAAAGCCACTTTGAGGCGTTGCAAAATCCGAATTTCTTATTCATCTGTCAGGGGGGAAGAGGAGGAGGAGGAGGGGGAGGGAGGCGCAAGGCCCGCGAGGCAGCAGGGGCTGCCCGGCAGGGGCGGGGACAGGAGAGAAGAGGGCCGGTCGGGGGCGTTGGCGGTCGGTTCGGCGGTGGTCGCCGTGGTCACGGCGCTGCCGTGCTGTTGGAGGTCGTGGTCACGGTGCCTGTCGGCGGTGGTCGCGCCGGTTGTCGTGCCGGTCTTGGTCGTGGTCGAAGGGCTGGTCGTGGCGGTTGTCGTGCCTAGGGTCGTCGTCGTGGTGCTAACGGTGGCGGCAGCGGTTGTCATGCTGGTGGTGGATGTGGTCGCGCCGCTAGTGGCGGACATGGTGGTTGCCGCGCCGGCGGTAGTTGAGCTGGCGGAAGCGCGCCTACCGCCCCGCAGCTGCCAAGATGGCCTCGGCGCTTCCGAGGTACAGCCGCGTGCTCAGCTGTTGCCAGCCGTAGCGGATGACCTCTGTCCGCTCCGCGGGGGCCATGTCATGGCCCCAGGAGCGGACGTACGCCACGGTGGCGTCACCCGGGCCGCCCCCTGTTTCGAAGACCGCAGGGATGAGCTGGCCCCCTTCGGGCGGGTAGCGTTCCCGCTTGGCGTCCTCGGCGTTAGTGGCGGCAAGGCCGTCCTTGTTGGAGCGGGCCTGCTGGTGCGGCGCGGTGTCTCTGTGTGTCCTCCTCCTCCTCCTCCTCCTCCTCCTCCTCCTCCTCCTCCTCCTCCTCCTCCTGTTCCGTAAGATTCATCCTCTTCTGCTCCTGCTAATCCCCCTCCTGATCATCCTCCCCGGCCTCATGAGCCAGCGGAATCATCATCGAGGGGGGTGTCCAGCGAGATCCGTGGCGTGAGTCTGAGGACCCTCCTGAACGGTCCCTGCCGAACCCTCGACCCCGCGGATGGCAAAGGGGAGGTTAGCGAATCAGCTCACGAGCTGGTTTCTCCAGCGCCTCTACGGAGGGGTCAGCGTATCGAGGAATGCGCCCGGCGGTGAAGCCGGAGTCGGCTGCATGTGGCAGATGTCGTACCCCACCCCCTTCCCTATCAACCCCCTGGGTCGTCCGACCCCGAGAGGTCGGCTCGATCCGCGAGAAACCCTGCGGGAGAGAATTCCAGGATGTCCCCTTCATCCTCGTTTTTTTTGTTGCAGCAACAGCAGCAAAGCAAAACAAGAGGGAGAGTCCGCTGCCCCTCAAGGAGGCTATCCCGCACCACGGACAAGGAAGACGACGCACTAGGCGAATGCACAACTATTGCCGAGCCCATGCTCAACAGGCTGTCCTGCGAGCGTGGCCGAAAAAACCGCCAGTTCAAATCGGCCGCGGGGCAAGACGACCAAACACCTGCATGAACACTGGTCTCGGATAGACGGGGGCAGGAAGCGAGGAGGGAGAGGGAAGCGGAAAGGGTGCTCAGAGACACCGGGTGCAGCGTTCGGGCCAACCTGCAATAGGCGAGCCGTTACGCGCGACCTCGGCATTAAAATCCAGCCGACAAACAAAACTTCAGAGCAGAGACCGAGCTCCTTGAATGACCACGTAAACTTAGGGGGAGCAAGAGGAGGGAGAGGAAGAGGATGAGGAGGAAACAACCTAAGACATGAATGCGTGGCCATGGCCACCCCATCGGCGCGAAAAGGACTGCGGATGCAGCGGATAACTAATATGAGTACGGTGAAGGAAACACATGTGCCGTTTCCTCCTCTGGGTTTGGGCAGCTCTGGGCAGGTGTGCGCAACCTCTTGGGCGGGCCATACAGAGGCGGACAAGGCAGCGCAGAGAGGCAAGGTCCTGGATGCCACTGAGCTGCTCGCACAGCGCTCCCACGTCTGTGTCGAGGTGGGCGAGCGGCCGCACGTACTCAAGCACCAGCTCCTTGTTTTCTCGGCGCGATGTATGGAGATGTTGTGGGCGCCGATTGGAACGCGTCCGCGGGAAACGAACACCCTGAGGCTGGATACATTTAGATATATGTATATATGTATACGAATATGTATATATAGATATATATAGAGAGAGAGAAAGAAAGAGAGAGAGCGAAAGAGAGAGAGAGAGAGAGAAAAAGAGAGAGAGAGAGAGAGAGAAAGAGAGAGAGCGAGAGAGACACAAAAAGTAAAGTCGATGGGCGTTGATCGAGGCCGCTTTCGCCACCACCTTTGATGCTCGAAACTTTGGCCATTCATTAAAGGAACGAGCGTGTAGACACAAAAGACTTATCCCTCAAGGCCCACGTGATTCTGGGAAGAGAAAAAAGAAAGCAGCTCGACGAACTCTCGAAGTGACTTCCAAGGTCTGCGAACACATAATGTCAACTTTGAAGTGTCATTCCGCCCAGTTCCACTTGGGCTCGCAAGAATATTGGTAAGGAGCCGTGATGTATGGAATTTCGGGTGCGTCTCACAGGGGTGCCTCAAAGAGGTGCTCGCACATCGGCGTCCAAGGCGCTTGCCCCGACGAGGGGGGGGGGGGGGGGGGCAGGGGACGTATTGAAAAAAGGAGGGGGCAATGAAATTTGGGAAGGTTTCATGGCTCCCCCCACGATATTCACACACCCCTAATCATCGCCCCCCTCTCGGCCGCCCCCGAGCATTGGACATCGAGCAGCCACAACGATGGGGCAAGAGACCAACGAACGCCATCAATTCACGAACTGTCCCAGGATGTGTCAAGGACACTCGCGCGCGCACGCTGCATTAATCAAGTCAGGATGCCAACGCGCACAAGAATGCCAAACCCACAGCCCTCGTGTCGTGTCGTACGGGGATGGTCCTCGCAAAAGGACCAGACCCTCTGAGAAACTACCATTGCAGGCGTCAACATGAACTTGTTCGGTTCCCCCCGCCATTCCGACGCTTCATCCAGTGGACGAGTGGGAGGGCAAGCAGGGCGGCATTCCCTTTTCCCAATTAGCACCTAACGCACGCTAGAACAGTGTATGTGCACCCTGATCGGCCACACACCAATTATCCACCTACTCCACCATCCATCCCTTCCCTCCTTCTCCATCGCCCGCCGACTCTAACCTGCGCTCCTCCGGAGGATTCCTCATCCTGCTCATCATCACTCTCACACTCTGAGGTGTATGCTTCTCAACCTCCTCCAATTCATCCATCCCTCCGCTCCCTCGTCAATCTTCCTCCTCCTCCCTCCTCCTCCTCCTCCCCCGCGCGTCAAATGTGTCTCCTCCTTCCTCACCCTTCGTTTCTCTTTTCTCCCTCACACAACAAATCCGAAGCAAAGATGAGGAAACTCGACTGCGCACTTCCAATGCCACCTGCGCCGCTCGGGGATTTACCACCTGCCACTGAAAACAACACTCGGAAGGTAATAAAGTCCGGAATCAGGCGAGATGATAAACGCTTTGTCCCGGCAACTCGTACATGGGATGTACGTCGAAGTAACAGAAGGTCGTCGGCGTCGTCGTCGTCGTCGCACGCAGGCGACGACGACGACGACGACCTATTCCTGAAACATGTTCGAGACTGTGGAAAGCTGCATTGGTCAGAATCAAATAACACATATCACTAGAAGGGGACGGGGAAGGAGAGAGGAGGGGAGGGGAGGAGAAAGGGTTGGAGAGGAGATGGGCCCCAGGACCCGTTCCCGACCAAAAAAAATTGAATAGGGGCACTGCGTTGTTCACGTATAAAACATACTGCGTTGATTGAACAGTATTCTACGTCGCATGAAACGGAACAAGAGGTGCATAAAAAAAGGCCCGGGGGGGCGAGGGGGAAAGAGGATAGTAGTAGCAGTAGTAACACTAGTCGTAGCAGAAGCAATAGTAATAGTAGTCGTAGTAGTAGTGGTAGTAATAGTAGTAGGAGTAGTAGTGGTAGTAGTAGTAGTAGTAGTAGTAGTACTAGTACTAGTACTAGTACTAGTACTAGTAGTAGTGGTGGTAGAAGTAGTAGTAGCAGTAGTCGTAGTCGTAGTACTAGTAGTAGTAGTAGCAGTAGTAGTGGTAGTAGTAATAGTAGTAGTAGTAGTACTTGTAGAAGCAGTGGTATCAGTCGTCGCCGTTGTGGTCGTAGTAGTACTGGTAGTAGTCGTAGTAGTAGTAGTAGTAGTAGTAGTAGGTGGTACTGGTTGTAATAGTAGTAGGAGTAGTAGAAGAAGTAGTAGTAGTAGCCGTGGTCGTAGTACTCCTACTCGCAGTGGTGTAATATGGATCGGAGTAATAAATTAATGGTAGTAGTAGTAGTAATACGAAAAGTAAAGCACAAGTCGTAGTAGTAGTACTAAGAGTAGTAGTAGTACTAAGAGTAGTAGTAGTAGTAGTAGTAGTCGTCGTAGTAGGCAGTAGTAGTAGTAGTAGTAGGTGGGGTAGGAGTAGTAGTAATAGTAGTAGAAGTGGTAGTAGTAGTAGTGGTAGTAGTAGTAGTAGTAGTAGTAGTAGTAGTGGTAGCCGTCGTAGTCGGAGAAAAAATAGTAAATGACGTAGTAGTATCAGTAGTAGTAGCAATCGTAGATAGCGATCGGAGTCCTAGTCCTAGTAATATTAGTAGCAATTGTAACAACATTGGCAAGAAAAATCGTAGTCTTCGCAAGGGTAGTAGCCGTAGTAGCCGTAATAGTAGTAGTAGCAGCAGTAGTAGTAGTAGTAGTAGTAGAAGTAATTGTCGTACAAATGATAATAGTAGTCGCCGTAGTAGTGACAATAGCAGTAGTAGTCGTAGTCGCGGTACCAGTAGTTGCAGTCGTAGTCGTAGTCGTATCAGTAGTAGTAGTAATAGTAGTAGTAGTAGTAGTAGTAGGAGTGGTAGTAGTAGTAGTAGTAGTAGTAGCAGTAGTAGTCGTAGTAGTACACGTCGTAGTCGTGGTAGTCGTAGTTGTAGTGGTAGCTCCACGAATAGCATTGGTGACAGTAGTCGTAGCATCCGTAGTACTACTAGTAGTAGTAGTAGTAGTAGTAGTAGTGGTAGTAGTAGTAGTAGTAGTAGTAATAGTAGTAGTAGTAGTAGTAGTAGTAGTAGTAGTAGTAGTAGTAGTTGTAGTAGCAGTAGTAGTAGCAGTAGTAGTAGTTGTAGTAGTAGTAGTAGCAGTAGTAGTAGTAGTGGTAGTAGTCGTCGTAGTAGTAGTAGCAAGCTTCGCAATAGTTGTAGGTGTATTAGTAGTAGCAGTCGTGGAAGTAGTAGTAGTCGTCGTCGTCGACGTCGTCGTCGTCGTAGTAGTAGGCGAAGTAGTAGTAGTAGCACTAGTACTTGTAGTAGTTGGAGTAGTAGTATTAGTAGTAGAAGTAGAAGTAGAAGTTGTAGTAGTAGTCGTAGTATTTGTGGTAATAGTAGTAAGGGTAGTAGTAGTAGTAGTAGTAGTAGTAGTAGTAGTAGTAGTGGTCGTCGTCGTCGTACTCGTAGTCGTCGTAGTAGTAGTAGTAGTCGTAGTAGTAGTAGTAGTAGTAGTTGTGGTAGTAGTAGTAGTAGTAGTAGTAGTAGTAGCAGTAGTCGTAGTAGTAGCAGCAGTCGTAGAATTAATCCCACCAGCCCTCTGGGCGTAGGTGGTCTAGAGCAGATCCTCTTCCACCCCTCCCTCTTCCCTCTTGGGGAGGGGTTTACCCCTCCCCCTACCCCCTCCCCTGGACCTGGACGGGGGGGGGCCGCGGGTAGTTAGAGCGTCCCAGATGGCCCAAGACGGCTCCAAGAGCGCCTCAGAGAACCCAAGATGAGCTCCAAGATGGCTCAAGATAGCGCAAGATCGCTCGAGATGGCTCCTAAGATGGTTCCAAGAAGCCCAAAGACGGCCCCAAGATACTCCAAGTGGCCAAACAGCTCCCCAAGGAGGCCCCGAAGAGGCCAAAATCGTCCCAAAACCTTAGGAAAATCAATGATTTTTGCTTTCTCGCCTTTTCGCTTCCGATGGCCATCCGAGGCCTGGAGATGGCTCCAAGATGGCCCAAGAGGGCCCCAAGAGAGCCCCAAAGAGCCCCAAGACGGCCCCAAGAGCGCCCAAGAGCACTCCAAGAGCGTTCCAAGAGGGGTCCAAGAGGCGATTTTAGGGGCTTCCGAGGGGGGGCGCTAATTCACCCCCCCCTCTTGTTTGATCGACTCCTCCAAGATGGCCCCAAGAAGCGCCCAGGAAGCC